TCTGAAAAGTAAAGATGAATGTACTGTTAATTAATCATACCTCCATCTAGATATAAGCTACGAATCTCACCTCCATTTTGGTTTTGAGTGTCAAGAAAACCTCCTTGTTTTATCTCTGTAATTTTCTTCATTCAGCACATTTCCCATAAAACGATGTTCTCCAAAAACAGATCCCATCCACGGTAAAATAGAAAAGCATCCCTAGCTTCTCTCATTCTTGTATCACCAGAGTTCCTTGGAAATAGAAACAAAGTTAGGAAAATACTCGAGCCTTTATGATAGACAGATGATTGGCAATTTACCTTTTGCTTCTGTGTCCTTTTAAGGCTCAGAGAATATTTTTGCTTAGGGGAATAAACAACCATTTGCTTGTAATGGCATTGTATACACGAAAGTTGGCTCTTTAATTGGATTATGTATATTAAAAAGGTGAAGATACCTACTAGTACAAACATGTTTCTTCAGTGCCCTGAATGAGTAATGCCCAACAAACTTTTATTTTAAATCCTTCTGCATGTCCTTGCTCTTGTTGGACATGCTGTATCCCTACTTGTGCACAGGTCTATAGTTAGTTTTGAATAACTTTTTTTTTTTGAGAATGAATAGTTAGTTTTGAATAATTAATGTCTTCTTCTTCCCTTTCATTGGATAAACAGATTTGATGAACCTGGCTGGGGTACGTTTGACAATAATGATGATGTGGATTCTGTTTGGGGTTTCAATGCTAAGGTTAGTCGGCAACCCCTTACTTTTACTCCTGTTCTAGTGTTATTAGATGTCGCCTGTCTTGTTATTGCAAGAATGTGCAAGTGTTGACTCTTCCGCTGGAATAATCTTGCTGTATAATCTGAGCTAAAATGTTGCTTAAAAGCTTATAGCAAAGTGGTAATGCTACCTCCTTTTACCATTCCGATGATAATTGATAACTTCATTACTGCTATTATGTGCAATGACATCATCCTTTAAATAAAACAAGATAATCCTCGTTTATCTTTTATACGGAACTTTTTCTTCCGTACCCCCTTATTATTTGTTTATTCTTGACTTTTCCAGTTCAATAGTTACATTTTGTATCTTGGTTGCCAAATTAAGAAAATTCCTGTGTCGCCCTAGTACAAACCCAATTATGATCTCAAGCGCACAGCTGGATTTTGCTTTTTAAATATTACCATATGTTGATGATGATAGAGTGCTAGTGTGCTCTATGTCGCAAAGTCTCCCTATACGTTGACTAACTATTATCCTGCAGGAGTCGGATCATGTCAAACATGGAGAGAAGCATTTCTTTGACTCAACTGATTTCGGTGCAAGTCCAATAAGAACAGACTCTCCTGGGGCTGAAAGTAGATACCAGAAGAATAGCCCATTTGCCTTTGAGGATTCAGTTCCTGGGTCACCACTTTCAAGAGCAGGAAATTCTCCGAGGTATAGTGTAGGATCAAAGGATCCTTTCTTTGATAGTTTCTCTAGGTATGATTCCTTCAGTACACATGATCATGGATCTTCTCCACGAAAGGAGACTCTCACGAGGTTCGACTCCATAAGTAGTACCAGTGGTTTTGATCATAGTCGAGGATACTCATTTGACGACTCTGATCCATTTGGTTCCAGTGGCCCATTTAAGGTCTCATCTGAGAGTCAGAATGCAAAAAAGAGTTCAGATCATTGGAGTTCTTTCTAGCTTGTGGCAATGATTTGTTATATTTGATTACCACTGGGCCATTATTCCTCAGCGTTTTTCGTGCCATCTATTTGCATTTATGTGTGTTGTATAGCGTAGGAGAGATAAAATCTTGATAAGATACAGTTTGTATTGGTTTTGTTCCAAGAATCGCGGTGTAGTCTGGTCTTCATGACATAATTTATTTTTATTTTTTGGGGTTGAGTTCTTTCTTAGTCTATCTTTTTATGCTTTTAGGGGAAGAGATAAAGGGAAGGGGATGAATGGTTTGGGTTTTGCAATTCATTTTTCGCTGGTGTACTGTAAAAAACTGCAACATATTTGTATCGCAATTTTCGTCTGATATACTTACTGTATTAAATGTTTTGCCACTCAATAATTTATTTACTGCTTATGGGAAGTTTCATTGTCATTCTTTTGTGTTTGGAATTGTTGTGTCCTTTATTTTACAGCACTCTAAGTATATAATCTGCCTAATTCAGTTAGTGCTAAATCGTGACCTCCTTATGGATTGCACAAGCTTATAACTTCTTATTTTGTTTTTTCGCGTTTCTCTATTAACCTTTTTCTGACAAAGACACCAAATAAAATAGTAATACATCTTTTCTTTTTTAGGTTTGAAAGGCCCTCATATTCATATCGGGCACATGTTTTCAATAAGAGTTGAAATCTTCTTAAACTAAGAAGGCATGTAGTTAAAAGTACTTATATTTATCTTCTTGTGTTAAACTAAGGAAAATAATATATAATAAAATATTATACGGTGAAAAAAATTTAATAAATAGTTCTTGACATGTTACACGATTATAGTTTGCACGTGTTTCTAGTTTCGTGAATTTTTAGCTAAAGATAAAATTATTAACAATGCAATTTAATTTGTTGTAACATATTATTCAATCTTTTGTCATCAGCACAAAGGCTCTGCTGGAGCTATATTTATAGTAGAGAAATTTTCATAAAGCACTATCTTTTGGTAGTAATTAGCCATCTATAGATACCATTTGCTATATTACGGATTATAGATACCTTTTGTGTGGTTATAAAATGTATTTGATGTATTTAAGCTATTGTATTCATGAATACAGTAGCAAAAATAGGCGTGAATCAGGGAAGTCCAGCTAATCAGTTGTTGTATTCGAGTGTATTCGACTGTATTCATGGAGTGAAACATGGGATTACAGCTGGACAGATTATTGTATTCAACTGTATTCGACTGTATTCACGGCGTGAAATAGGGGATTACACTGTTTTTAAAACGGAAAGTGAATCAATTAACATAATAGACTCCTAATATAACTCAACAAACTCAATTATAACACACAAATTTTGTATTTTCAGTTATAAAAAAGATTCTCAACCGAAAAATACCCCAAAAATATAGCGATCTTCAGAGAAATTATATAATACATCTGAATACATAAATTATATTAATTAAAAAAACATATGAATACATTCATGGCATATAGCGAGACAGTGAATATAATAAAATACGTATAATACAACGGGATACATTGAAAAACAATAAAAAAAAGACAGTGAATACAATGAAATACATGGAATACAACGAGATACATTGAATTACAATGAAAAAGAAGACAATGAATACAATGAAATACATGAAAATACAGCGTGATACATTGAAAATACATTGAAATATATTAACAGAAAATTAAGTTGCTCAGCCCCAAACTACGTCGTCTTTGTTCAAGAACAAACCCTAATTTCCGGCGAATCCGTCGTCGAGCAACGAAATAATCCACCTAGTATCCGGTCTACTATATCGTCTTCCACTTCGATTGAGACCTTGTCATCGATTACCATTGAGAATTTCGTGCTTATTGTTTTCTTGATCTCACGTCAAGCAAAGGGATATTCAATCGCTTGAATTGTATGGTATCGTCCACTGAACTGACGAGTTCATGAGGAACTGATGCAACTGAGAATTGCCTGTTTTCAAGGTCGTGTTCTTCTTCGTGCTCAACAGTTAGATTAGTCAAATTGGAATGTGAAAGATCTGAAAGAATGAGAGAGAAAACTAATACAAAGAGTATTTTATGGCTTAAGAGTAGGAGGTAACCATAAATAGATATTTGGCTATAAAAATCGAAAGGTATCTATAGAATATAATTTTTTTAAAAGGATATTTATTTAAAATAAATAAGGTATCAACCTTTGCTATAGGAGGTAAAAATTCCTTTATAGTACGAAAACTTGCAAAAGGAAGTGTTCCTGTGTTCTAGTAAAGGTTGAGGGGTTGAAGTACACAAATAACCTTTAAAGTGGATGATGTTGAATTTTTATTCTCACATGTTTCGTGGCACAACTTCAAGTTTAATAAGTATTTTCACTAGCTTATACGCAATACCTTTTAATTTTTGACCTTTAAGTTATAGCCATAGAACAGGCGGGGTCAAAAGTTAAAAGACAACCCAATAAAATGGAGAGAAATTCAAAAATAGTTAGATTTACAAGTGGTCGTTCAAAAATAGCCCACTTTCAAAAGTAATCGAAATTTAGCCACTTTTCATGTAAAGATAAATCTGAGTGAAAATACTGTTCAAAACTCGGAAAATACGCCAGTATATTATGCTGGAGTTCCAGCATAAGCATACTTGAACTCCAGCATATTATACTGGAGTTCCAGGATAAGTATGTTGGAACTCCAGCATAATATGATGGAGTTCCAGCACAAGTACACTAGAACTCCAGCATAATATACTGGAGTTCTAGCAAAGTATACCGGTCCAGTATAATATGCTGGAAGTTAATACACAAGTGCTCGAATCTCCAGTATATTATGCTGGAACTTTCCGTGTGTTGGAGTTCCAGCATAATATGTTGGAAGTTCATGCACAGGTGCACCGAACTCCAGTATATTATGCTGGACCGGTCTCTGTTGCAGCAAAATAGTGGCTATTTTTCATTGACTTGGTAAACGCTGGCTATTTTTGAATGACTAGTCCGAAAACTGGCTAGACCGTGCTATTTTTACAATAAAATGTTACATTTCTGCAGTTTTTTAAAGGCTGGGCATCTTCTAAAAAGCTTTCTTAATTTGTTATAACCATATTAGAGCCCGTTTGGATTGGTTGACTAGCTTTTAAGTACTTTTTAACTTTTTGAAGTGTTTGGCAACCAAAAATATAGCTTAAAACGGCTTAAAAAAGCCAAAAGTAACAAGTTAGCTAACCCTAACTTTTTTGAAATTGGCTTAAAAGCTATTTTGGTTTGACCAAAGATTTTACTTTCTTATCCCTTATAATTTTTCTTATTTTCGAAATTACCCCTTAGTAAAAAAACCCTAAAACATACCATTTCTCCTCTTTTCTCCATTCTTTCAGTCACTCCAATATTCTCCCTCTTCTTCCATAACCTTCCCCAATTAAATTATTCACAACTAATAATTTAATCGCCTGCGCTTTCTGTACGATTCTCATGACCCTCATTAGGACCCTTTGCTCGTCTTCAATTTCTATTTGTTTACGTCAGATTCATTTAGCATATGTACGTCAAGAGGGATTTGCTTATTTAAATTCCATTATTTTCTCTGTTTTAAAAAAAACAAAAAAGAAAAATCTTCAGCCAAATTAACACTTGGCCCGCGGCTGCCAACAACTGCCCGCCGTTTCTTTCTCCGGCCTACTCCAGTTGTAAGTTCCTCTATATCTCTCTTTCTCTCTCTTATCTCTCTGTACATACGGCTCAGCTGATTTTTTCTAATGGTTTTTGATTAATTATTGATAGTCTTTAGGTAAATTGGAGATATGGAAAATATAGTTAAAAAGTATCAGCAGAGATTCAGGAAAGTGAAGGAAGAGATGGACACGTGGAATGATCTTCAATCTCGACTGCTTTCTCAGTTCACTAATGCTTCTTCTATCATTCAGAGATTACAGGTAAGTTACCCAGCTCTTTGTTTTACTACGTTCAAATGGGCTTTTGAAATTCGCTTATTTATTAAGGTACCTTTTTTTGTGCAGGTTCTTCAAGATTCTAAGAATTATGGTGCCCTGAGATGTGTTGAAGGCATTGAAGAAGCTATTTTGCTTAAACAGATGGATTCTCTTCAAACTATCTTGCTTTCCATGAATCAAACTCTGTACGTCTCTCTCTTTTTTTTTTTTAATCTTTGTATTTCATGATTCTTTAGGTATGTCAATCAATCAAGTACATGTCAATCCGAACTAGTTGGGGTCGGCTATAAGAATCCTTTTAATTCGGGCTCATTTCATTCTAATACCAAAAATTAGTCTTTTAAGTTAAACTAGAGGTTATTTGAAACACTTATATGCAAGTCTCTAACTACAGAAAAGATAACTAGTGCAAACACACAGTATCCTCAGTTATAAAAGTCAAATATTTGTCATTGCCCTTTCGAATTTTTTGTTTTGTTTTTTTGTTGGTAATTGATTATGTTAGCAAAAGTAGCATTATTTTCCTTGTTTTTGACTTTCTTAAAACTGTGGGATGAGTTTTGTTGTACTCCTTTGTAATGTTATAGAGCAGTAAGTGAATTGCTTTTGCAGTTTACTTGTGCATTTAGTTATTGGAGCTAGATATTGATTATCAACTAAGAGGGTTATTCTTTTTTTTCCCCTCTTTTTGTTTGGTTCAAAATCTAGGGAAAAATTTCGTTCTGTCATGTTATCGCTTGAGAAGATGGTTCGTGATGGTAGACAGCTCGTAAAAGGGGGATCCACTCAGGTAACTGTGAAACAGCTGCAGCAACGCATTGGGATAAAACCAAGTATTGCTGATTGCTTGGATGGGCTAAAACTTCTCTGTGAGATGCACCAATCCGAGTATGCATAGCTAAGAATTTTTTTTTCTTGTTTCACTTTCCTAGTTTCACTTTCCTGCCTTGTTTGTCTTAAATTAGGAAGTTTATTGTCTTTTAGTACTAGTAAATTCCATTGTTGAGCCTTTATTAGCAGAGAATATGTTGTTTCCTAGTAATATAGCTGTACTTTGATCTTTCTTCCTATGAATTAGATATTCATATAGTTATCCACAAAAAGAAAAATGCTATATACTCATGCAATCCACTGTCACCTCCTTAGTATCACTAAGTTCACTTCCTGCTTCTGGAGCTTTTTCTCTTTACTATGAAAATGATATAGCTGTGCTATTTGCTATGGTAGGTTAACATGAACAAAATTTTGGTTTGAAATCATGTTACCTCTTTCTTCTCTTTCTTCCTGTCACCTCGAACGGATTTGATATAGTTTTCTTTTGCTATACGAACTAGTTCTTATCCTTGCATTATTATGCATTGAACACTTTACGTTACTGATTCCCTCAGTACATTATGTCAGGTACCGTCTTAAATTATCGGTCATATCAGCAGTATCTGCGGTTGCCTTAAAACCCAGGTATCATATGACACAGTTTCTTGCCACTTATTTTCCTCTCTAGATCTCACGGGCAGAGCTAGGGGATAGGTGGTCAATGTCCAGTCAATTTGTTTTTCTTTTCCTGTTTTGTTGGCTTTATCTCCGTTTTGTATGTGAAAGAGCATTGGGATATTCTGGGATTTGATCTTAGTCTTGTCACTAGTTTCCATTTCTCTTTCTTTCTAAAAATTTATGCACATATTGAAACTTGACTTCCCTGCAGTGCAACTGATGATTTAGGTGCGCTTCAGCAGCTGTTGGTTGATCAGCCTAACATCCCCAAAGAAGAAGGTGAGTTAAAATGAATGTAGTAAAGCAATTCAAGTGACATGCTAATCCATGTGGCATATGGTGTGGGTTTGAATTTGTGCAAGTCGCAACGAGAATGAAACAATCCATCTTTATTCATCCTAAAAAAAATAGAACAATAAAAGCGTTGTCAGTATGAATCCAACAGTCAATCAGACAGTTATTCTTTCCTGTGAAATGAACATATTGTTGTAAGAACAAACTGTTATAGCATGGCAGTTGTAACTTTGCACATTTTTTTTTTTGATTTGCACCGGGTGTCCAAGTCTCTAAGAGCCCCGACTAATCCCGGGGGTGCACAGGCCCTCGGCAAGGAGTTTCCCGCAAGTGCACCACGGTTAATTCAGGTTTTACCCAGTCCGATGGCCCTCAGAAATTGTTTGCACCCAATGGGTTTCGAACTTGAGACCTTGAAAGGGAGCAAACCCCAAGGCTCAAGTCTGTTGCCACCAGGCCAACCCCTGAGGGTTGTTGTAACTTTGCACATTTATGAAGAGAAGAACTGAAAATGTATTTTGGTTTTGTCAAATTTAAGTGTGGTAATTACAATTTCTCTTTCTTTGAGAAAGAAAAGAAAAAGTTTGTATTAGAAGTACCAATATGTGAGTATGACCTTTGTCTAACACGAGTCTATAATATTCTGTCAGACACGTGTTTAGGACAACCTAAAATTAGAAGGCAGACATTCTTTTGGTGTGTGGCCGGAAGTAAAGATATGGATGCATGGACAGTTTGTTATGGAAGAAGAAAAGTTATATATTGCCTCTTACTCCTGGATTACCGACCTCCACGCTTACAGTCAAACCTAGAATACTTAGGAGTTAACTTAAGAGATTATAAATATTGAGTGGTATCAAAGCTGTAAATGTTACAATTCCAGTCTCAGATATGTAGTTCTTCATGATTGCTCTTCTCTTTCCTTTGCCGGTTAGTTATTAAGGCAGCTGTTACCCCACCATAATGTTGTTTAAGTTACTAATGATATGTAACTTCATGTTAATTATCTCATCAAGTTATCTAATGCCTGTAGATTAGAGCTCCTCGGAAATATACAAGGTAAGATCAACATATAGTTTTGCTTCTAGCTGGAGTTAAGCGTTACGGCAGTAAGGTTGTGTTAGCTCGTGTTGAACTTCAGCTGTGCTAAAACTGAAGCTTTTAACGCATTGTTTGAAGTGCACACGTATGTTGTTGTTATTGAACCCACACCTCTACATTCTAAGTGCTTCTTTTCTGCAGTACAATTCATTTTTGATATCATATTCGCTGAAGAGATGGCTTGATGTCCTTCTCGCATGGATTTTGGACTGATGAAGTGATTTCTGAACTGGTGAAATCTATTTTTAAGTTCAGACTGAAGAAATTGAGGCTTTTCCCTGACCAAAGAGAACATAGTCGTCGATATTGGAGTCCCATCCAGTGGATATTGTTTCCACTTGGTTAAAGCAGTGAATTATTTTTATCACTCCAGGTGGAAGGTGTTGGAACCTGGAGATAGAAGAGATTCTTAATATAGATATCACTGTAAACTTAAGCTGCTTTGTATATTTATTTCGTTTATTCACATTTCTATTTACAGCTTTTTGTTCTATTAGTCCTTAGTTGGTAACATAGTTGTGATCACATATGAAACATCTTAACTAGTGATCTTTTTTGCAAGGGTATCCAAATTCTGATTGTTGAGATTAACGAAATAACATAGATCCTTGTCCTTTGAAAAGTACTTGTCCTAATTGATACTAGGCTAATCTATATATATATATATATATATATATATATATATATAGGTTGAAGGGATGATTATATATATTAGCAACTAAAGGTAAATAGATACATTGTTTTCAAGGGTATGAAGTAACCCCTAAATTTGCTCCACAATATTAATACGGAAAAGGGTTCAAAATGCCCGGAAAAGGTTTACAAATACCCTTCATCCACCTATTGGGTTAAAAATACCCCTCTATCCACTTTTTTGGTTCACTTATGCCCTTTGACCGTTGGGTCAATGCTAAATTAAAAATAATTATTATTCTTTTTGTAAAACTTAAAGAAAAATATTTTCGTTTTTTTAAACTAATGCACCAATAGTCCACTAATTTGGTAAAGTCTTCTTCTTTTTTTTCCAGTTTTTACCCAAAACAATTTAGTTTTTACAAAAAATATTTTTTTTTCCAGTTTTTTTAAAGCATTTTTTTTGTAAAAACTGAAAAAAAATTGTAAAATCAGAAAAAAATGTTTTTAATAAAATATTTCGTTTTTTAAAAACTGAAAAAAATATTTTCAACAAAATATTTTCGTTTCTGAAAAATATTTTTTTTTCAGTTTTTTCAATTTTTTTTAAAGCATTTTATCTTCGTTTTTCATTTTTTTTAAAGAAAAAATATTTTTCAAAAACGAAATATTGTTGAAAATATTATTTCAGTTTTTAATAAACGAAAATATTTTATTAAAAACATTTTTTTCTATTTTTACAATTTTTTTGAGTTTTTACAATAAAAATGCTTTAAAAAATTGAAAAAAATGAAAAAAAGGAAAAAAGAAGAAGACTTTACTAAATTAGTGGACTACTGGTGCATTAGTTTAAAAAAACGAAAATATTTTGTAAAATACTTTTTTTAAGTTTTTACAAAAAGAATAATAATTATTTTTAATTTAGCATTGACCTAACGGTCAAAGGGCATAAGTGAACCAAAAAGGTGGATGGAGGGGTATTTTTAGCCTAATAGGTGGATGAATGGTATTTTTAAACTTTTTCCAATAGTTTAGGGGTATTTTGAACCCTTTTCCGATATTAATATTACAGTCCGAATAAAGGCTAAGTTATATCTTGCACAATGGCAATGTCACTTTTCTTGAGCCTATTTAAAGGGAGTAAATGTTTATATGTAAACAACAATAATTACTACGCCTAAATTCCAAACGATCATTGATCTATAATTGAATTTTATTGTTTGTGTTTGTGATCAGAACTCTGATCTCTTAACAATACTATTTTATTTTGTTTATATTCCGCCGTTACTTTGTATTATTTGATGTTTAGATTGTCATTATATCGTCCCTTTTTTTTTGTTGCCTAGTCGAGAAAAAGGCTTGCAAATGTTGCTAAAAATAATAAATTGAAGAAAATGTGCGTGTGAAGAAAAAAAAACGAAAAGTGCATGTATCTTGAAAAAAACGAATAGCTTTTACACTCGTTTTCATTCTTCACTAATTTAAGACAAATTAAAGATTCTCGAAATTAGAAGTTTTCTTAATGTTACACTTATTTCTACTCTAATATACAAATGGCAAAAATCACTTTTAGTTTGCGGCCAAAATTATTTGCATCCGGTTATCACAAAAATATATAAAATTTATAATCTTTATATATATATATATATATATATATTTAGAGTGATTATACAGTATCATTTGCCCAACTTTAACTTTGTTTACGTGGATTAAGATTCTTGGCTAATATTGGATTTAATGTAAGTACATCAACATAACAAAATCTCAAACATAACTAATTGGGATAGCTTGTATATCTCTTTTGTTTTCTTTATGTTTAGATATAAGTAACTAAATTATTTAACTCGTGACACTAAAAAAGACAAAAAAACAAAATTAATTTAAATTTACTAAATATGGTTTGCGAAAAAAAAAAAATACTACTAGTAAATATTGAAAGTAAGAAAAGTTTTACTCCATTGCTAGTTGCTACTCAGAATGTAGAAATGAAGGCCGGTTTTGTGAAGTTGCAGAGCGAAGACTCTGTGTTTTATGAGTCAACCCAAGAATTTAAGTATTTAAATATCTTCCCCAACTACAGAAATAAAAAATCATAATTTGTTGTATTTATTCATCAACATCAACTCCTGCTGCCAGCTCTTTCCCTTCCTTCTTCCTCTCCAACATGGCCCAATTCAAACCCTAAATTCAAGATTCATGGAACAATCTGAATTTTGCTCAATTTCATCTTTGGACTTTGTTGCTAACTTGATTTCATAGTCTTGACAGTTGAGCTAACAGAGTCTTTTTCCATAAAGGTATGAGCTTTTTTGGTTAACTGATGTTTTTTTCAATTCAATTCAATTCTAGTTTTTTTAACTCTCCCAAGTAAAGGGTGTTACTTTTTTTCCAATTGAAATTGGGGTACAACTAATTTTCCTTTATATTGACTTCTTTTTGGTCATTGAACTTGATCAGTGAATTATTAATTTTACTATTTGTAATTTGTTTGGATCATTGTAATTTTGATCTTTGATTATAGGGGGATTTTACTGGGTTGTTATTGTTGTTGTTGATTATAGGGCTACTAGTTGTATCCCACCCCAGTCATTTCTCTTTTGGGATCTTCTTCTTGTTTAGTTTTGGTCACATTTTCAAAGATGGAATTTTGTATATCATTAAAGCAGAGTAATGACAACAATTGAATAGAAGAGAAATGCTGATGGCTTGATTAAAAACATAAGCTTGGTTAAAAGAATTCCTATAAGTGGACACTTGGCATTGTGTAGCATATCATGAAGCCTCTCTGCTTTCTATTTCTTGTTTTGCTCATCTCTAGAATTGAAGTCTAGGAAAAAGGACAAGGGACAATATTGCTTCACAAGTTTAGTTTTTCTTTTTCCATCACATCATGGAAATAGTAGCATTTCATAATAGTAGGAGCAAACTCTTGCTCAAGAGGTCGGCTTATGCGTGAGCTACCATTTGTTTGAGATTTTTGTGTTAGGATTTGAAGTTATGTTAGATGTGTTGACAGGTACAAAGCTTTAATGGCTGAAAGCTGGGATGGGAATCATGATCCCGGTAGCCCGTCCGAGGAGAGTTACCATCTCGAGAGACTGCACATAGAACCAATTTATGATGCATTTATATGTCCCTTGACAAAACAAGTAATGCAGGATCCTGTTACCCTGGAATATGGCATGACTTTCGAGAGGGAAGCTATTGAGAAATGGTTCAAGGAATGTAGGGATAGTGGAAGAAAGCCTGTGTGCCCTTTAACGCATAGAGATCTGAATAGCACGGAGCTGAATCCAAGTATAGCTCTACGAAATACCATTGAAGAATGGAATGCAAGGAATGAAGCTGCACAAATAGATATGGCTCGCAGATCATTATCTCTGGGTAGTGGGGAGGGTGATATTATGCAGGCTTTGAAGTTTGTCCAGCACCTTTGCCAAAAAAGTCGCTCAAACAAACATGTTATTGGAAATGCGGGGCTCATACCCATGATTGTAGAAATGTTAAGAAGTAGCAGTCGCAGGGTTCGATGTAAAGCTCTTGAAACGCTTCTAGTTGTGGTAGAGGACGACATTGATAATAAGGTTGTAGAACTTTGGTAAAAAAGTACTTATGTTGTTACCAAAGTCGTTTTTATGATGTTGATTGTTCCTATTATTTATGTTTTTCCCATTTTAATTTCTTTTATCATATGCCCTGCTCTTTCCTCAGGAAATAATGGCTGAGGGCGACAATGTACGGACAATAGTGAAGTTCTTATCACATGAACAATCAAAAGAAAGAGAGGCAGCCATTTCTTTGCTGTACGAGCTATCGAAATCTAAGACTATATGCGAAAAAATTGGTTCAGTTAATGGGGCAATTCTGATTCTGGTTGGAATGGCTAGCAGCAAATCGGAGAATCTTGTGACTGTTGAGAAGGCTGAGAATACTCTGGAGAACCTGGAAAAGTGTGAGATTAATGTAAAACAAATGGCTGAAAGTGGTCGGCTGCAGCCCCTTTTAACTCTACTACTTGAAGGTACTTTACTTGATGTCTGAATCTCCATCTCTTGTGCTTCTTTGTATTATGATAAATGTTTATTTGTTCCGCTTGATAGCTTCAAAGGATGACAGCTTGCTTGTTGTTTATTTGTTTGTTCTCTGTTGCCTTTTATTGTTGAAACTTGAAACAACAAACTGAAATTAATTAAGTCTAAAGAATAAACCATTTTGGTGTGGAGAGCAAGTTGGCATATGTGGGATAGTTAATAAAAAACTCTAAGCGCCTTTTTTCTTAGTCAGTACTCAGTATATTTTAGTTATTCGTATGATTCTAGTAGATATGTATTGTATGACATATGCCATGAGGAGATCTGAAACGTGAGAGCGTCAGCATGGTAGGAAGTTCTTTACTTCAAATTATGTTTAAGCCGTATTTTGTTGATAGAAAATCAAGGAACTTACTCTAGAAGTTCTAGACAGAGATAAAAAGGCCAAAAGACAAAATATCGTTAATAGTAATGGTTGAATGAATTACAAAGTTGAAATACAGTTCTATTTATAGGAAAAAGGACTAACTATCCTCATCCTAAACAATCTAGGACTCCTAATTATTGTGAATCAAGAAATTGATTCAAAGGTACTAAAGATGACATTTTTAAGATAAGGGAACAACTAATTAAAAAGTTACTGAAAATAAATATGACCTAACTAATAACCCCAATCCTAAATAACTGCTACACGACTTATCACAATAGCAAAATTTTTACGGTAAACACATAGTCTTTATACCTCTGTTCTTCTTCTTCTTTTGGGGTTGGGGGTTTGGGGGGGGGGGGGGGGTATCATATCTGACTACATAGTCTTGATTTTACAAATAATACAAGTTTCAGTCCCTCACTCACATGGGGGGAAGGGGGGTTAAGGAGAGAGAGTTCCTTATCAAGAATGTCATCGGTGGTTTTAGAACTATATAG